TTACCCAATCTTCGATAAATTTTGGCAGCGCTGTTGCTTCATAGAACAAAAATTCACTGATTTTCCAGCGAAGTTTCATCTGCTATAAGCGTGTGGTTAAAAAGCTAGGCCATGTTCGCTTATAACAGCAATGTGTACAGTACATAGCATATTTAAAGTTTACGACCTAAGTATGTTGTTATGTCAATGTTAAATGTGCCTAATAAGGAACTGGGCGATACAAATAGAAACCGATTTTGTATGGGTTTCTTCTTTGAATGGAATTCTACGTATGCTTCAATAATCGAACAAAAGAGAAACGTTGAGTGACGTCGTTATCACGAGGCAAACATTTCATACATAAACGTTTGTTTGTATATGGTCTACTGAATTATAATATTATATATTAAAAAAAAAGGTGAAGAATTTCGGAGGAAAGCCGTCACGACATCAAACAAGTCAATCAAATGAGAACTAACAAAACCTTGTTGAATAATCGATTTGCGTTTCAGAAGCAATATGTCGAATCGTTTCTTAACTCCACCTAGAAACCTGCCAACCAAAAAAACAAGGATACCTTAATACCAAAATCCTCTACTTGACAGCTATATTGTTCTTACACTATTAGGCATTACTTCAAACACTTAGCTCTTAGCAGTAAACAAACTGTCTACGCCTAACAATGAAACCGACACCATTATGTGTGCTTAAGTTTGGCGGGCATCGTTCAATTATTTGAAACGCGACTAGAAAGATCACCGGGGAAAACGTTTGGCTTTTAGTTACGCCATAGGGGTATTTAGTCAACGTGTTAGGACAATGGCAGCTCGATAGTAACATATAATTCCATGACCATATGTGTTTACTTGCGTATGAACAACAAACTTGAAGTTATACGCATTTGTTGAAATAAATAATAGATGTGAAGAGGCCTATATGTTAAGTGATTTTAGTTAATCACGATCGTTTTCCGCAAACCTTGTCAGGAAATCCTCCCACTAGTACGGTCAAGCTGCGAAACACTGCAACCTTCCACACAGTGCATACGCACGCATCTTCAATGCTTGCTTTATAATTAAACGATGTCCAAGATTGCTTCTCGAGCCTCTGGGTCCCGTCTATGAATAGAACTATGCGCCCATTTGGATTCATCTGAAGGCAATCATAAGCACTAAGACTAGATTTGTGCCATTCATGATAGGTCATTCACTTGAATTGAATCACGCTTCACTTTCCGCTACGGGATGTGGAAAGCCAGAAATGGCTTCTCAAACGTGCAACTAGCTAGCTGTACAAATAAAGCGTTCACAACTTTAGAATAACTGGACATAAAGAAGGACATATAGAATAAAGGACAATTCTATGGCTATGCTACAGCCGTTTAGTATGTCTAGTAGTAACGATGCTGAGGTAAGTTTAGCGCGACATCGATGATCTTTTTGATCATCATATTTGATTCTAATCTCCAGACATTTCTAGCCATAGCTGGATAATGTGAGCTCACCAACTGTGTCAGTTAACTACGCTATCAGTGAACAACACTTGCATCATTCAGGAGGTAACTTATTTATCAATCTAAACTGAACAAGTTAAAAGAGGATTTGTAACTATATTAGGTACTTACGCTATACAACCTTTTCGACCCAGCATGCCATCTTGACGAGCTAAGCGGCTTCCACCCGTTCTGTCAGTGGGATGCTTCTAGCAATACCGGCTACACAAAAAACCGTTGTTCGTTGTTTCGTAGTAAAAATCTGTGGATACGTAAAATTGATTTTCTCGCAAGTGCGACCTTGTCCTAACTTGAGCTCAAGGGCATCTCGCTGAATGCTTCGGCCAAAATTCGAATTCTTGATTAGCCACATTTTTTCGTACGTAAATTCGACTTCAAAGATGTTTTTTGCAAGAATAATGCTCGCTGTGTGATAACAGCGAGACTAAGACCCCGATGAGTCAGTGCGATGAGTCAGTGAAGGAGTTATTTTTCATCTAGTTAGAAAAGTATACAAAATTCGAAAGTGAAATTTGCACTCGTTGAAGGATGCTTTAAGCTTGTCGCAATATGCTTTACTGAATTGGCTCATCGTAAGGCAACGAGCAGTACAATGTGACAATTTAACAAGGCAACATTTCTTGGTGACAAGAGGTGAGCATGCCCCGCTAAATTCGGAGCGAAAAAACAAACAACCAATATGGGCGTCAATGGCTTTTAGTGGACTAAGGGCACCCTGTATTACCATCCCCATGAAACTCTAGCATGTGAAACAGCTCTACGTAGCTGGAAACAACGATGCGCGCACGAAGGCACGCTCTGCGGAAAGCAGTCCAAAACTGTCTGCGGAAAACAAAAACAAGCTTTGTTCTCTAGTAAAACAACTCGCTTAGACATCGGCCGCTCTGCCGGTACAGGCAAGAAAGCACAACATAAACTAGAACCCGTATACTTTGACATAGTATAGGTTGATTTTATGCGAAATAAATTAGAAACGATTAGTTTAAGACTATGTTTTTTTCATTTAAGCACACCAGTCGTGCACTGTACTCTAAGCAAACATCCAAAATATGCTAAAAGTCTACACATTCAGCCACCCCAGATTAAACTCATATTTATCAATCATTTTAGTACATATTACACAACCATGCATGTTTCTGTATAATTCTACGACTGGTGTCATTAACTAAAAAATCTTAATGCATTAAAATTAATTCATCGAAAATCTTAAAAACGTTACAGCTCTACCGGCTCGTATCCTATTAGCTTCGTATACTGGATGAGTTCATTTTGATACTAGCGTCCTAGGCTTCTTCAGCCAGAGGCTTGGCCGTCAAATTCTTCGTGCCAAAACATTATACAATGATGTCTGCATATTTTTGTTTATGATTCAGGAAGTGGAGAAAAACGCTCCGTAGAATTTTGGCAGAAACGACTCAAGCCTTCCTTAGATCGCCGCATTTGTTTCCCTGAAGCAGTGGTAATATTCTGAAATGGTCTTTGCTTTCGAATAGCATAACTTCCATGACGACTGAGAATGAATTTCGTAAGAGCATTGAAGTTCAAATATCTGCTCAGTGTACGTTTAGATACAAGTTAGATTTCCAGTATACATGATCATTGAGTACTTTTTTAATGTGAATAACTAGAGATATAAGGTGATGCCATATATCCATTCATCCACCTTAAATATATTACTTCAACTAGTTGGTTAAATCAATCATTCTCTACACATACTTTTTAGCTATGGTCAATTGAAGTGCCGTAGCGGTCACTTGACTTTAAGTCTCGTTGTTTATAGCCGAAATGTTGTCTGGGCACGCATTGTACGTACGCTGGGTCGTACGTACGCCTAGACGGTCTGAAACGAAAGCTAAGTATCGTAATACTAGTAGATGTATGGCAGGACACTTGGGAATGCGCAAACGGCATGCTGGGTTTTCGACGCACTGCCTTCAGCGGACGAATAGCCGACGGGACAGCAAGCATTACAAATGGTCACTTCTGATAAACGTACATTAAACGTTCACTCTACCTCGTTAAGGCGTCGAAGTGAGCACGCAGCACAAACGATTCATGCTATAATCACAATACGTACGTTGAGATTTCAGTTGTCACAGTTAAGACACAATTTAGGCAGGTCGAAGTTGACTGTCGGCTTCGGAACGTGCCAGAATGAAATACACGGAATAAGTACTCACGTACTTGATTTTAGTAGAATCATAACAAGCCGTGCGTGTAACTCTTCCATCTAAACTTAACTTGGATAAAGTAGAAGTATGCTTCTCGAAATGTAATTGAGTGGAAATGCTTTTGTTTCCTAGAAAACTTCAACGATGCAATGAAACTAGAGTTATGCTGAGAGAACAGATTATAAAAGCTATTGTTGTCGCAAAATTACAATGGAGCCGACAATTAAGAAAGGCTTAAAGAACATTCTTAGCTTGTTCCTTTCTCGATTTCAGACCCCTGTTGTCGTTTGTACCTTGCACAATCATGAAATAGTTTGTTCCCCGTTCCAGAATAACAGTGTTCTCATAAATGGCACGAAAATGTAAATAAAAATGTCTTTTACCGGCTGAGCATATCCCGTGTTCTAGGTCAGTCGTGCCTAGTATCATCAAAACTATGCCTTGTCGTTGGATCGATTCAAACGGCAACCATAGCCTGTAAGGGATAGTGGTGGACTTTTACGCAGCTTAATGGCTTTTGTAACAAATCAAGCCACCAACAATTATAGAATAGGCAGCGTTAAAAACGTATGTGGAACCCATATACTCGTGCTTTGCGAACGGCCCACCAGTATGATTTTTATTGGAATATACTCAAATATAATATTTGAATAAGGAATATATAGTACGCATATTTATTGTATAGAAATATAGCCATTGATATTTATAGAAGCCACAAACAGACATAAAAAAGTTATGAAAGCTATAGAAATATTGTCTACAACAAGGAGTAGAGACTACCTCAAGTTTCCTTAAAAAAATATACATCTTCAGCACATGCTTTGTCAGAAATGAACGAAGTGATGAAGCAGAGAGTAAAATTGCAAATTTCTTTAACGTATAAAAATTTCCAAAAGCTACCTTACAATCTATCTGTCAGCTTGATGATCTTATATACCTCAGTTTTCGTCGTTGGCACTTAGTGGCTAGAATAGTAGAAAATTTCTGTTTCAACGAACCTGCAAACAATGTTACATTGGGTACAAAAGAAAGCATAACCCTCGGAATAATTTTTTTTTACTTAAGGTCACTTTACACACACAATTACGGGGGTCGCAAATGGTTTCTCTTCTAATCTGTCAAGGCACAGCAGTTTCTTATCAACAACAGCAGAAGAGTTTTGAGATGACTCATACGTAAACGACAAAAAATAATAAGCCAAAATTTCGAACATACGTTGTTTGTGCTATGTTTTTTAGCAATTAACTTCCCAGGTATAATACTTCGCGTTTTAAGTCAGGCAAATTTATAATTTAACTATAGAGAAATGTTTACTAACAGAGTGTTTATCTTTACAGCTCCCCTACCGGCACCACGAATGGAAATTAATCACGAAATAATTTCACTCAATGAAACTACAATCGGTCCGTACACTGAACGGGAAATGCTCAACGCTTCCTGTTCTTTGTCGCATTCATGTAAGTGTTTTTCTTCGCAAATCGGGGATTCTTATCTGAAACAGCTTGGCCACTGTTTCTTCATCTAGACAGTTAGTTATTTCAGACTTAGGTTAGTACTTGTAGTTTAGGTGTACGCCATTAGTCTGTTAAATTCTGTTTTCCATGCAATAAACTAAGACTTGATATTTTACGATCCTTATATTATAATTACCAGTTTCGGAACAGGCTCATAGATACCATAAGGTAGATGCTTAAATATGAACGTGTTTGGGAGAGATTGAACGGAATGTTAGAATGAACGAACTTGAACTACATCGGATCATTGTTCCATTCCGCAATACGTCTGGCTCTTGAAGCGGTGCAAAGTGTCTATGCCCGAAATCAAACTTAGAGGACACACGTACCCTAGATATTAGAAGAGACGTAAGTTACATGCTAAGCTATCACAAGGACAACAACGAAACCAAGCTAAAATATTTTTACCTTTACGGTTCTAGACTGACTGACACAAAGCATCGCAGTGTCGTCAATATTGTACTTATATAGTGTTGTATATTCACACCTGAGCCAAGTACCCGACGGCGTTCTCGTTGTCATGATATGAAACAAAATGGTTTCGCAGCATTTTCACTCAGACCCACCGGATGTAGCAAATATAGTACACCGTCATTGAGAACAAGCATTGCTTGTACGCTTTACCGGGCTGGTGACCTCAGCTCGCATTACATCTGATTCGCAGTCATCACACGCAATCAAATCGCTCGATTAAAGAAGCTTCAAGAAGGCCGACCTTATTTGCATTATACATAAAAAAAATACAGATCTGAACAAAAAGTAGGGAATAGGACTGTAGAAAACACTGTCCAGAATTGAAAACAATAACAAAAGTCCGTTTGTCCAATCTCTTCACTTATGTATTACATAGTTTACCCAAGAAAGGTAGTAGGTACTTCGAAATTCGGGAGCATTGTAAGTTACGGGCTCATGACACTAAATAGTATACGATACGTACTCAATGCGCATAGCATCAATTGACGATTATTTCCTTGGGTAAGAATGTGCTGAAGGAGTCACAAAGTATGACAGCGAACAACCCTGTTCTTGAGAGCATTTTCAATAGCTGAAGGAAAAACGATGTTCTGTTTGAAGATAAGCCGTCTGTTAACAAGTGACGACATAAGAAGTGTTGACGTTATCTAATAGGTACTAGCAATGTCATATTAAAATCCAAAAGGTTAATATTTGTCTGTGGTGTTCCCTCGTTAACACCAATATGAAGGGAAAAGATTTGTAGCTCGTACAAGCATAAACTTTATCATCAGCGTTATCACGATGGCCATACTGGTTTAATATAGCAAAATGTAGTTATCTTAACTTTTGATTGCAGTCGGTTCGTGGGATCAATCTCGGGAATATGTGGATCTGCGCATACTTATTAACCTTCAAGGTGCTAAGTGGCTTGTTACTAAGTTCATGCTTGTGTAGTATACAATAATTTTCATAGAGGTAGTAACGTTTGACAACAAGACCCATTTTTTGTCTAAGCATAATCTAGCCCAGCATAAACGCGTCAAAGCAAAGGGCTGTGCATTGCATCGGTGATTTTTTTAAGTATTTTTTTTTTGTTTTTTAAGTATTTTTTTTATTTAAATTGTTTTAGATTTCTAATACAAAAGAAGAACTTTAAAGTGGCTTAGACTTGATTAAGTCCAGCCATTTTAAAGTTTGAAAATGCTTCTGCAGTGTTCATTTTTTTAAAGTTCATATGCTAATTTGCTTTGTTTGAATAAATAGCAGGCCTGTCAATCTGACAAAACAGCACAAACAATTAAATACGCCTTAAGCAAAACAGTCGTTTTCGCAACTTTATCAGAGAGTGTCCACAGCGCTAACTATAGGTAGGTCCTAAAAGTACAATTATTATACTTGGGCATGGCCTTCTATGGGGCACAAATATGCAAATTCTGACGTTTTTTTAGATATGAATCATGTATTTACTCAAGAGGAATTCGTAACAGGCAAGAGATTTAGAGCAAAAAATCTTTACGAAATAGTCCTTTATCGCGCCACAAGCGCACCTCTTAGACATTGAATACTTATATTGAGCAGTAATTTAATTATTCATATTTCATCATTTTATCTCCAGTTTCATCGTTTTCTCACTCTAATTTTATCATTCTCGTTCCATCACTATAATTTTGACCGCTTTAATTTTATCATTTAAATTTTCACTACTCTCCGCTTTGATCAACGTATAATCACTCTAATTTCAAATAGTCTTCAGTGAAAAAATACATTTAGAGATGAAACTCGTACCATTAGTTTGTAAATGCCAAGATTGTAATAATAGTAGGTTTTAAGCTTCTAGATAGTTATACTAATAATATATTACTAGATGTCTGATGTCCACTGTCGGCGAACATTACGCATTTGCCCTTCACTAGTATGTATTGGTGTCTAACAAGAAATTTTGCGCGTGTCTATATGGGCTTTTACTTATACTGAGATGATTTGAAAATTTGCGCGGATTGTTATTGATTCAAGTGGGCAATTATCGGTACAGGTAGCTGCCAACAGTACGTGAAAATCAGCTTGCTTTAGTTTCTCAAAATAGTTATTTTCTTCAAAGGTTTGTTTTCTTTTTAACTTTTTGACCCATATTGTTGTCTGTCAGTTACGATATTATGCACTTCGTTATTGCAGTAACCAGACGCCTACATTCTAAGCGAATATCACAACAATTTGCGAACTGAGTAAACCGCGATGGAATATCACATAGTATTTGGACACAAAAAATTAGAAAATCAAGCTCGTCGACTAGATTCTATAGATGCGATACGATATAGTTCAGTACGAGTCAATGAAATCATCGCATCCATTTATATTTATGGAGACGAGTCGAGATGCATATGGCAAAAAGGAACAATTGTTAAAAAATGAGTGAGACATTTAAATTTTCGCGCTGCCGAACGATGGCTTGTGATTTATGTTTGTTTTGCCAAAAACCAAGTTCTATGCTATACATAGATGAGATTTCATAATCGGAGGCAATGCAGAGTATTTTGGTGAAATTGAACAAGTCTATGTATTAAGCGTCCCGCGATTTTTCCCAAACGTGTCATGGGTTTTGTGTGAAAAATAAAATTTCACATGTAGTCTGGACACTGTGTAGAGCTAAAGTAAACAACTGGTTCAAACGTTTGAAAGACGGACAAGGGTTTACCACGAACGATTATGGACGAGAACGCGAAAAGATTTGTTGTACCTGCTAACCGCCAAATCACTCTATGAGAGTTGGCATGAAGAAGCTGGGTATTTTGACCGACCGTTTAAACTAAAAAGGGTTCATGGCAAAGTTTGTGCCGGAACAGCTGGATGTCTTGCAGATCAACAATCGCGAAAACCTTCAAGAAATCATTTAGTACCTCCCGTTTGAACACGTGATTACTGGTAACTAGACTGGTGTACAACTACGACGAGAAGACCAAGACGCAATCATTCTAGTATGGGTGGAAAATCGCATGATCTATGGTTTTCTTCGACCGTTGAAGGATCGTTAATGCCGTCGGGCTCCACTGTCACCAAAAAGTACTATCAAGAAAATTGCGCAACTCTGTTGGACGCAAAAGACCTGAACTGTGGTACATAAGATCCTTGGTCTTCCGTGACAATGCACCGGCCGACCAGTTCACTTTTCGTACGGCGATTTTTTGAACCTGAGTGGCTTATTATTTTAACCCGTGTATTCACCGGATCCAGTCTCCTCTATCCTCTTCCTTTTCTCGAATCTCTGAAGGGAAGCGTGGGGCCACGATTAAAGAAATAAAAGCTGAAGGTTATCCTGGCGATCGATTTGGGAACTGAAAAAGATGTTGACATGTGTTACACCTGGCGCGGACCATTTCAACAAGGAATTTTCAAATAATGAGATTTAATCGAATTTGGTCGACAAAAGCTTTGATTTACGAAGGACAAACTTAAACCATAAAGTATACATTTACCCCGTTACGTAAACAACTTGTGAAGCATAAAGGTGGTTATTAAAGGAAGAATTTTGGCATGGCATGAAAAATCAATAAACTGTCGAGAAAATTTCTTGTTTCCGAAGCGTTATAGTGTGATATTTATCCGAAGTGGTCGAGCCGGTATCTGGTTCAACTCTTGAATGTTCATTTGAATTTAAAATAAGATCCTTTGGCATCTATCGAGCCCATGTCAAATAACTTAATGGCATAAGTATCAACAAGCCACGATCAAAGTTTTTTGCGGGAACTTCGATGCTGGCTTAAAAAAGAACAGAATCGAAAGAATTTATCGGTTTTTTAACTCAAAAGAATTATCAGGCAAGTGCACTGTTTTTAACATGGCCATCGCGAAATAGGTATGCTCGAGAAACGTCTTTTAATAACAAAAACAAGATGCTGAAATTAAATTAATTGAATGATAAAGAATAGAAATACTTGATCCGTCCTGCCTGTTTGCAATGAACCTGGAATGGGATCTTCTGTTATACATGTTAGAATGAGTCGCTTTGAAGATCTTGTGACAGATGTTTCGGTCTTCTGTAGGTTTGTTACAATGGCATATGATGTAAGTACTTAAGTAAATCAGTAGGTAGTAAGGAAAGCTTCTGGAAAAGAAGACATCACGTTTTGAATTCCTGTGAAAATACGCTATTCTATTATGTATCCCTCATCACTGTTCGAAATTTTCTCCTATTTTTCCGTTAAATGATGTATGCCTCCACGTCAGAAGACAAGCCCCAAAGTTTTCAACTACGCTTGAAGTTGTTGATCGGTGTCGAAGGTAGAGCCGCGAAGGCGATGTCAAGTGAACGACAAAAATAAAAATGCGTCGGCCAAGATTCGAAAAATATGGAAAGTACAACAATGCTTCCCTCTCAAGGTCTGAAAGAGCAGTTTTAACAATGTTTGTTGCATGTCACTTTGTTGTAGAACAATATAAGTGGACCACGTTTATAAGGTAGGGTCTTGTGAATAGTTTGGTTGAATGGATGAAACTGACTAAATAAACATGCCAACAAACCGTTTGGTTCGTAGAAACCGGCTCGTTGTGAATCGGGCCCTTTTAATGTCTAAATCAAGACTGCGTTAGATTCAAAGTCTTGGCTTTCCTTTTGGAGCTACCCATTCCAGTTATTGGTTCATGTTGAAGTACAGACACCATTTTTTAATCATGGGTGGCAAATCTACGAAAGAAATCGGTCATTGTTGCCGCGTGACCTTCGAAGACAGGCGATATGCTTATGCAATGTTAAACTGTAAATTCCTATTGGATTTGAAGAATTCATGAAAAATTTAGGGAGCCTAATAACAGTTGCGTTGCCATTGCCGATTTCCGAGTTGTTTGTTGGCCGTCTCCCCTCAAAGGTGTCTTCGAACTCTTGGCCAGAGCTAGGGCATCACCTAGATCCAGAGCACCGTTTTTGACTTATCAATTTGCCCTCCAGCAGCCCTGTTAGCGATAGCGTTTTTATCGTATATAAAGGGCTATTGCGGCAGCATTTTGGCCTCAACAAAAGGCATGGTATATAAAATGTCAAAAAAAATTTCTACATGGAATAGCCATTTTAAAGTCCCTTCGAGTTGAAATGATGTTCTCAACGAAATGCCGTTACAGCACGTGGTAGAGCAGGAAGAGTGCTTTCAAACGGTATATCAAAGCGGAAGTGAAAAAGTTTTTAAAATAAAATGTGGGCTTCCCGTCTAACCCAATATGTACAAATTCAGGTTTACTCGTTGTCATCATTACAGCTAAAAGCGATTGAACTCAAATAGCCAATGTCGAGCTTAGGTATTATAACTTAAGCAAATAATCGTAATATACATCTTTTGTTTTAGACCATTACCCGATATGGTACAACTGGACTCTAGATGGCGAGCAGCTACCACTTGTTCCAACAAATACAAGCATTCTTCATTTGGGTCCTTTGAATCGTACGTATTTTATGAAGAACCTATGCTGTGTTGTGTTTTCTGCTTCGTCATTGCGACCAACATCGATCTGTGCACAACTCCTCGTAAATTGTAAGTGCTATTTTGTTCAATTTTGAGTATTTTCTTAGAGCTTCCAGGTGACATAGTTTCAATAGAACAAATATATTATACATTTGTATATTCTTATACATGGAAAGTGTGTGTGTGTAAGTATATATAAAGTCTTTGAGAGTTTACAGATATTTTACTACGATGTTTACAGAAATTAAATAAATAATAAAAATAACCATAAAATGCCACATAGAGTATACCAAGCGAGAAGTGATTCTATGCGTTTGCGCCCACGGATAATTTTTTATGGTATGCCAAATATTACGTACGTGGGATCTGTATCTTTTTATATGCAAACTATATGACTTTTCGTTGTGCCGGTTGTATTCAGGCATCAACAACCTCGTCCTTAGGTGGTCGGTTTTACCGTCTATCATTGGACGCGATGCCTAGGACATTTGAGGGCGACCGAATTCTTAATAGTCACCTTTGATGCGTAAAATTAGGCTAGTTTCCTTTACTTTTATCTACCTTTTATTATCTGGTCAGTCTTTACTTTTGTAACATATTTTAGTAGTTCTTTTTAAAGTATGAGATGGGTATTAGTTTTTATCAGCTTTCCGCCCAAATCACTTCCTCTTCGCATTCTTTTGCCGTTTATTTAGTACAAAATTTATATGACTTATTTTGATGTCAACGTATCTAAGAACCGGTTCCTTCCATTTTCTCATTTTTCCTGTTTTAGATGATTATTTAACCAACGCTTCCTTCTCTTTCCTGGTAACTCAATGGTCCAAACTGTGTTGCGCATGCGTAGCTCTTTCTACTGCACCGCAAGCCTTCCAAATAGTAACATAGTCGACACTAACGAACTTTTTATCGCTTCCTATTCTTCTGTAGTGGGAGCTGAATCTGTTTCCATTCGAGCGTGGCACTCTCCTCTAGTGCTCGGCATCCCGCAGGAGATTGAGTGTGAAGTTCACGGAGGGTTTCCGCCCCCTGAGATTACATGGCGTCTGAATGATGAGCCGTATTCGAATGTGATATTCTATGATTCGACACAGCTTTGGGCAGTGTCCGTGATAGTTCTCACTCCGGAAGAAAAGCACATGGGAGTCCGCCTGGAATGCCGAGCCGAAAATCGCAATGCTGGAGAATATAAATCGCAGTTTATTCGACTGGACATCAAATGTAGGTACCACAGTAAACACATCAAGTTTCCTCTAATCGCTTCTCGGAATAACATTTGTCAATGTCATAAACAAGTTCGGCCAAACAAACACAAATATACTATTATTACCTGAGTTATAGGAATGGTCTGCTCTGTGAACAATGGAACTCTAAGGGCAAGACACAAATGTTTGAATGTTTTGCGTTTAATGTCACCTACTTGGAATTTAAGGCGAATCTGATAAATTATAGCTTAGTTCATTTTATTCGATGAAGCTGTACAATAGATTACAAGATCAATGTTTTTCAATGAAAAGAATTTTATGATTATGCGGCATTTTACAGATAAGCCGGACGTTACATTGAAAATAGGACGAGGGCTAAATGCCACAGGGATTAACGCAGGCAGTGACGTGTACCTTGAGTGTTCCGTGCAGGAAATCCTGCTTGAGCAGGGTGGTCAAGCCATGAATAATCACGTCATAACTTGGAAACACAACGGGAAGGTCCTTAAGGTGAGTTTGTTTCGTCATGTGTTTATGCTGCTTTTTAATATAGCCAGGTTATTAAGTTGTCCACAGACAACTCTACTCACGCTGTCTATACGCGCCGACCAAAAAAACAGCGACGCCGTTCGTGCATCTGTGGCGCGTCCTTTGCATGCTTAGGTGTAAGGAACGAGAGTCTTCTATGTTGTACCTTTTGTCCTGTGCCTGCTTACGGCCTCCTCGTTGACGCCGTCGCTGTCACTACCCCTGCTGTTGTTAGTGGCTCCTCAGAGGCCAGATGGACCAACTGTCTCGATGCTCTGCTACAGCCTTTTCACTCCAAGTGCGTAGGTAGGCACTTAGCTGTCTTCAGATTCCAAGATACTTCCAGATACCCATTCTTCTTTTACGTTTGCTGTCCATGAGCCCTAATTCCTTTTTCAACACTCTTTACCTTCGACACCCTCTTCCTTTACACAAACGTCTTTTCTGGGGCTTTTGCCGCTATCGCGTCTTCTCAAGTTTCCCCCAAGTGCAGCACCTTAATAAGCTCGTTGTGAACTTTGGATTCGCTCTGACTGCCTGATACTCATGGGAGCTAGTAATGCAGCGATAGCGGCTAGAAGTTTCGGGACTTACTTTGCCTGTTATTTTCTCTGTTTCGCTTTAGCGGCAGACAAGCGAGTCAGACGAATCAGTCAAGCAGGAGAGGCCTGTAACGATAGCCATGGTGGTCGTTATAGTTGCTCTATTACAAGCCTAAAAAGTTTCCGATAAAGTCGGTGAAGTCCTATGAGAGTCACCGTTCCGTGTCGCTTTACGTACCCACCTTTGTACGTCGTATTTTTACTATTGCTTGCTGACTACCTATATTTTCATTCTCGTTGCTTGTTTTCGTACTATCCTGAAATGGTCCCTTTATTGTAATAAAGTTACGTTACGTTCTTCAGGTTTATAGCTCGTTTCTACCCAAGCCCCTGCGGAATTAGATACAACCGCTGACAGCGCAGTATTATGAAGGGCATCATTATGGAACGTGAAATACGATGACGGTCGCAATTTCCCAGCTTGGTCCACCTGTCGACTTTTCAATATAAAAAGCTGACTCCACGAATGTATGTTGATGGGCTACATTCATTTTCAACCAGTTTTTGAAACTAAAATCATTAAAACCGAAACGATATCGTTGTGTAACCGATTCCTTGTATGGATACTCTGCTAGAGATAATGGTGGCAAACAGCCTCTGTTGTTTGATAGCATTTTTTTTGTAGTTGACTTCGCGCGGGTACTCCTAGATACTTGAAAGTTGAAAAGATGCATATTGTGAACCGCTTACATACTTCGAAAGTATCATTGTAAAGCTCTAACATCATTTTGACAAAATTTCAGAACATCAGTGATGTTTGTTTGTTATAATATGAGGTACATTAGATTATGAGCAGTGCCTTCAGATTTGGTTGTACTATTAAAGCAGTGATACTAAGTATGGCAGCTACCCAACGTACCCGCTTCGCCAATTGCATTCAGGGATTATTAACGATTTGAAACTGGAATTGGGTGTTTATAGCTGACCGTTATCTAAAGTGCTGTAAATTCTCTTATATAAAAAGGAGACGCATAAAATAAATTAATAACGTGTAGTAATGAACTAGCTTGGAGATATAGTAAGGCTTTTGTCAAACCTGGACCTTTCGTACTTAGCGCGTAAAATGGCCACTCTACGCAATTGAGTCAAGTAGATCGAAATTAAAAACGTACGTGGCTATTTTTTAGGAAAGCTTATCGGTGTAATTATCATTACATGAAACAATCGTAAATTAGCTATCGTAGAATACTTCTATATGCCTACTTCTATATATATAGTTTGTCAAGAACTGTGAACAGTCACGGATATTGAGGTCCCTTTCTCAGATTGAGAACAACTTTGGTTAATTAGTACTAGAAGTTCTGCCTACAGAAGTGATACAAGTTTACTAATCGTCTCAAGACACTGCTTCTAGCTCGATTCTTTAAAGACTCCGTATCGTTCCTTAATGCACAGGTTTCTACAGCTCTTAGGCAAAAATCCTTTGCGTCGCGTTGAACAGATTGTGTACCGACCAATTTGAAAATCTTCTTCCTGTATTTATCTTCTTCCAATTCAAACAACATTAGCTTCAAAACGGTTTGCGTTATCCGTAGATGGATGAACCGATATATACTGAGTTGTTAGAGCACATTCATGGCTGAACTTCACGCTTGACCCGGCCGTTTCGATCACCCGGCGCTTATGTGCGACAAGGCGATAAAACCGATCACGAAACTTAGCCTGCAGCGGATAACCAGCGCGATAACTCTTTTTCGCTCTGAACCATTCGCTAAAAGGCTGATCTTGTGATAAGTACATATCGAAGTTTTGTATTATATAGATAAATTATAGGATATTACCGAACTATAGCCGAGGTTCTTAAATAACATAGGACATTTTTTGTAGCTCACGGCGGAACGCAGGCAATGCCCTTTTAGTCGATTAAGAAGCACAGCATTATCAGCCTATACAAGCTTTTGGTTTCAAACGTTAGTGGTACGATATATCCAAGTCCATATCCAAGAGCAAACGCCGTTACGGGTAAAGACAGCTACCGATACGCGGCCATCGATATGTACACCCTATGCTTGGCGAAATTTATAACGCTATTATAAAAGCAAATCACCCAATCACTGAGAGGTCTGCCGGACAATGTTTTTAATCTAGCATACACATCTAAAAAGATGTGCTCATAAAATGCATGCACTGAAAACTAGCTTTTCTTTTTCGATTGCTGCAGGAACGGGCCCGATACAACGATACAAAATAAAATGACCTTCAAGAAATAGATTAGTTTGTATTTTATTATTTCAAGTCAAAAAAGACCAAACGTTGTATGCGTATCGGTCAGAAGTTTTGTTATTTTCACTACCCTCAATTTGACTGTTAGATACGCCTGGTGGGATTCGAAGAAAGACGAGATGGTCCCTTCTGGCTCATTGTGCTAATATATAGCAATCCGCTTTTGCTCATCCATGTTGACTGCCCCTGTCCTATCTGCTACAAAGGCCAGGTTTGCCTCCTCTGCCGTGTTGGATATTGAGTTTAATGACACGGTTATTTGGGGAATCGGTGGCCATCGAAGAAGTGCTTCTGGGCGTAGTCGACGAGACCCAGTCTGAGTTCCTAGCATACTTGCCCCTGAATACAGGAGATAGACTATCTCTTGGGTGCGATTCCGTTCGCAGTAATAACAGCAGCAAGAGCCGGGAAGAGGAAAACAGATTCCGTGATAAGTGACTTTAAACTCGTCCCAGGTCGAAGAGCATGCTTCTAAAATCTGCATAAAATGCCGCAAAACAAAAGAATTTGTTACCTCAGTAGTGCCTAACCTGACCTAAAATCAAACATTTTACGAAAAACAAATATTGCTTGTTGTCCTGTGCTATTTTTCAATAATTTTTCCATTCTTCCAGTCTTTCTATTTCCAGTCTTAGTATTATTATGCAGACAAATTAGTTTACCTATAGAAGAGCCGTACACGGTAAAAAAATAATGGCATCATACATTCAATGGAAAATGTAAACGATGATGTTTTTAGCTGATGATATTCAAGTCTATAAAGAACTGCTATATAGTACATATCCGTACACTTTGATTATTTTTATCACGCATGCTTTTACATTACGTGCCAGATTTTTAGTCGATGGTTACTGGGTCGTTTAGTCGGGAGTTTTGCAGCACTGCCCCTAAATTGAAAAATATTGAACGCACACGCGTACACTTGGCGTTAGTGTGACCTGCCACATCCAGCTCGCTATTAGGGCTAAGATCACACTTATACATGCAGAAATGTGCAGTGTTGTTTTTGTTCAGTGTTATTTTTCTCCTGAAGAACTTGTCTTTAACTTCGGTGAAAAAATGACTGGCAGGTAAAATTTCACGTACATTTATGTGAAGCCTTTGGATACTTATGGTTATAAGCTTATTAGGTGTCACCAAGGGCTGGTTAGCTTGGAGGAAAAAATATTTAATGGTGAAAATCGATGCGTAATGATTTCCTGTCTCTTGAAAGTAAAGGTATAGGTGAAGTTCATTGAAGATTAGCACAAACATTGGGCTAATGAGGTGTTCAGCGAAATAACAATTCGAGACTAATACAATTAAATTGGGTATGAATGGCTACGGGGGACTAAGGCTCAGGATCTCAAGCACATGATCAATAATGGCAGTAAGCTCCAAGCCGTTTTTTTTTGTTTGCTGGTAACAGTTATAAAGCATTACTCATGACTCCACTTGTTTTAAACCCAGTCCATGGAAAATTCACTTCTTGTTTTTTCCCCTTTTTTTTGAGTACTTTCACCGCAATTTCGTAATATTTGTAGGGAGGGGCCCCATTTTGAGTCAGAAAGCGCATGTCCACGCTGCCGTTAAGCAGTTACTTCCCGTTTCAGACCCCGAGATGTAGTTGTTTCCTCTGTAATCCGTAACATCCCAATTTAATTCATAGAATAATTTCACCAGTAGCGGTTGTGGCCTCCGTGCCGCGTGTTTTCATATATCTTTTATAAACTTCACCACCGCTTTTGTTTTCGAAACCCTTACATTTAATTACGTAGCGTTAATTTTAATACGAATCTGTTTGCCACTATTGTCATTGTTGCCTGATGACACTCAATTAGTTTATTGTTGTAGGCCAAACACTTGATGTAAAAATTACCAAACTCTGTCTTCTAATGATTACTAAAAGTTACATGATTATCAATAGTAGAGCCATTTGAAGTGCTAAAGCGGAGATTTACGATTGTCAAGATTATCGGAAACTGAAAGATAAATGTAAGTCACAAGCATAGTGTAAAATGACTGCACTAGCTAACACGGTCAGCCGGCTTATATTATAGACAGCAACTTCGAGTTCGCAATTCTGCACAAAAACGAGCCAGTTCAGAGTCATAATGACCCTATAGTGTTCACCCGTGAAGCTTGCTCGCATGGCAGCTGCAAAGAAATGCGGTTTTCTTTTAATGAGAGATTACTTTGCAATCCCGGATCGAGGGGCCACATGCCGTGCGTCGGCAGAAGACTGGAACCCTGGTGTCGTCTGCATTTCAGCAGGGCTTCTTTTAGATAGCTTTTTTTTTTATAGAGAGCCTGATATTTTACTTATAAGGAAAGCCGACTTGCTAACTGCTGTGCCCAGATTGACGTCGTGAAAAGGACACTACGTCGGTATAGCTCGTCATAGGCGTTGTACTAGTATAATACGATGCGACTACATTCTTTCACCGGTTGTGACAGGGCAACGAACGTTTATGACTGTGAATCTCCGTCCTATCGTCACGAAGTTAACAAGAGCGACAAATTCTGCCATCTTCTTGATGTAAGCTGTGGTATTATAAAATCAAAGTCATCGCGCATATCAACGTTCATTTCCTCCGCATCAGCACTTTAAATGTTTTATTCTCATTTTTGTAGTTGCAGAACGTATCAGGTGACCTTTAAATTGAATCAAACTTGGGTTTCTGCTTATAAGGACTGTCGCACTCGGGACACAACATGACTAGCCGACTATTGCTGTTATTCAGCCAAAAGCTTGTATTTCCGACCCATTACTGGAGTCGTTTCTAATCAAACACCAGGACGGGCGATATTGTCATTCAGACATTTCTAGGAAGCGTTCACTGTGTCCCTAATGTATCCTGCCATCTCACTTCTGCTACTGAGTCGCGCTTCCGAGCATTAGGCTAATAACGCGTTGCCAAGTCATTCTCACGAGATAACTATCGCAGCAGTTCATAGGTGACAAGGGCAGAATACTAACAAAACTACCAACGCTATAAAGGTAACACCTCGTCCATTTAAGAAAAATGCTAACCGCTTTGAGAACGACATATAACTACGTTTTGTTATAACAGACGACGGCAGAGGGACACGGGACTGATGGAAGCTATAAATGACAGATCGCCCGGAACACACAGGGACAGCATGGGCCAAGCGCTAGTGAAAATAACTTTTGTTCAATAAGTTATCAGGAACTGACACCGATATGCACCTAATATAGACGAAATGTCTGGCCTAATATTTACTTAGCATTATAAAATAACCTTATTCACTGTATACTGGGTACCATGCAGTCCAGTCAATTGTCGCTATTGCATCTAGTATATCTGGCTCAGTGTGGTTCTCGAATTGGAGTGGAAAATAAAAATAAGTCAGTAAATCTAAATAAAGCGTCTTCACTTCACAGTTGGAATTTAAACTGTAGAAATAATTTGCATCATCTAAATAACGAATAATGTCAGATTAATTTTTTACAGCATATTTTGTTCTAACATAAGACAGGAACATATCGAACCACACGTAACGGTCGCATGTGTATATTTCGTTGTAGTCAAATCGAACAGCAGGCATCCTCATAACGGATAAGTACCTCGTCCTTCGGAACCTACAGAAGCGCCATCGAGGTCATTATACTTGTCAGGTGATGAATACTGCCTTACAGGACGGCGAGGATATAACCAGTAGCCCGCTTTTTCTCGTAATACATTGTGAGTTGATATTAAGCGCGCTTTATATGTTGCAATATGTATCCAGATATCAAAGGTCAACGAAAACGTTTGCTATGCTTGAATTAACTTTTGCTAAAATGCCTTTGCGTCTTTTTCAGATGCTCCTCGTTGCACAACGAACGCCATTCAGAAAGCATTTGTTGATAAAGGTTCTAAAGCAATCCTTCTCTGTCCGGTCGATATGCAACCATGGAACAGATTTTCCAGAGTGTACTGGTCCATTTTAACAGAAGACAATTTTACGCGTTCCAACCATCTTGAGGTGGATATTACCGAGCATATGCTTGAAGAGGGCGAAGTCACCTGCTGGGGCGAAAATAAACTGGGAAGTGGCCGTCAAAGCCCTTGTCGACTACAGCTGTTAGAAAAAGGTGAGCTCAGACGCAAAACTGTACATTCGCATATGCCTAAGTATTCCGGTAATTAATGAAATCAATTGCCTGCTTCATGTGTTCAGTTATGACTACCATACTATTTGTGGCAAGGGACCATCGTCATATTACGACGAAATTGGGCTCGGCGGGAACTTTAACAACATATTATAAGTCATTTTAGTTATAAATGTATTTAATTTGTGAGAAGTACGCAGCAACGCATTTAAGGTGTATTATCACTCGATTTATTTTTCTTGTAGGACTCTTATTGACACTGATGGCATTACTAAATAGTGTAACAAATTTATACGCAATTCTATGATCAATTCGGAAGCACGAATTAGTCATAAGCCGAATCGATTAGCTGCATCAAGGTAGCTCCAAATGTGTTTATATTTGGGTGTATGTATTTGACGTTCTCTCTTCTCACTTTCTTTGCTCAGTCTCCTATTTTTATTTGGCTATTTTTATTGTGTGAACAAGGTCTCGGAATTATTCTTTTAGCATAGCGTCAACGACTTGCACCCCCACTATTAGACCCAACCGAAGTAGATCTTCGAAAACTTACTTGGAGTTCTCCTACAGACCTATGAAACGGCATGCTGGTAGCCATATGTCATGGTGGGCATTTTCGAATGTGGAAATTCAAATTTTATCCTTTGTGGATTTGTCCGTTTCGGCAGACAACAGCAGCAACGACCTTCATTCGTCAAGTATGCATCAGGAAATGATCCGTACGATGGAGTGCACAGTCCACAATGTCACAATGCGAGCAATTCTTGTCGCCTGTGAGAACTTTAATAATAACTTCGTGAACTATACCGTCGTCGCTGAACTGTTTCGTGATCGTCAAGTGGTCAGCAGCGCCCAGCTCTCCTTCAGCAGGTGAAAAATATTCCCTATCTCGCCGCACGACATACGAAACATTAGTTTCCGACGGTTTAGCCCATAAAGCAAAAATGCAATTTACGCCTAGGTGCTCACGTCAGTAAGAGCAATCATATTTGGAATTGCTGCATTTAGTTAACGCTTGTCAGTAGAAGATCAAAAACACACTTCTGCAAAAATATTTTTTTGTTTGCATGTTGCAAGCTCCAGCATAAAGATAGAATTATAGTGCTATCATTAGCATTACTAATGGTAGCCGTAACGCTTTGCAGTGGATCGTTGCCGTTTCCGTGGTTCGTGTAAGCTTATCCTTCGGTAAACTGTAGTCCTTTTTTTCTGTTTGTTCCATTGTATGATTGTTTGTACCTTGCTGTCATACTGATTCAAGTCGACGCACTGTTACTGCATGAGATCGATTGGCAGAGAACCAATTAGATATTGAAGAGGAGCCCTTTTGTGGCATAGCCTTTCACCATAGCGTAATGATGAGGCGAAGCGCCGGTGTATCGACACTAGGGGGTTCTCGTACCCACAGAGGAGGCAGGGTTGTCTCTCTAGTGCATAGTCATCTAGGTGTGCTATTCTCGCAGTACTACTGCGGTTGTGATTCGATTAGTCGATGAGTGAGCAAGCGAATGACACGACAGCGGGGGTGCTTTCCCTGTCCTGTTATTTTGATGTCGCCTCACAGGGCCTGGCACTGGATGAGCTCGCTGCAACCATCAACAGAATATGTAATCGACTTTCGTATAGTCCGCAATTCTAATTATGTTAAAGCCGAACTGGAGAAGCTCTCGAATGTTACAGGTAAGTGCTTCACAGAAGCGGCCTAACGAATCATCGTATGTACTAGCAAGTAGATAAATATACCTATATTTAGCTAAGAAACGAGCCTCACATGTTGGTCCCCCGCCCTGTCCTTTGAAAGTCTCTCACTTGAATGTCTTTCAAATATTCCTTGGTCGATTTCTAATTTCTGCCGCTAGCAGAATTAAGCTCATACTCGCAAATTCAAGACTTGTAAAGAATCCATCCAATATGGCAGATATATAGATATTAGGCATTCACTATTACTCAGCGTCAGTTTGATAGTAACGTTCTCCTACTAGAAACATCGTTGGTTTAAAAATACGCGGGTTAGGAAATTGAGCTTGCAAACAAGTCTTGGGGCAAAACACCCTGCAAAAATGAATAACAAAGAAATGAAAGCAGTGGTCAAAATTGAGTCATTTTACATTGCGTGGGTGCTAGAACATAGGTTTCGTCTATGTAAAACTATCACGCTTACTCGCCTTGGTTAAATCTACAAAGTGAGAAGATTAACCAATAGCTGCCACAAGACCTGAATGAAAATCAAAAACAGACGTAAAGACATCTGGAGTTTTCGTTTCACGTTACGTCAAAAATGGATCCTCTGCAATAATCGCAAACTTTCATATCAGTGGATGGAGATAATTAAAATGGCGAGGCACCGCCGTAAAGCAAGTATGCACCTGGTAACCTTCTTACACCGTTCGATAATTTAACGCAAAGGTTATGCGCTACAACTTTGAGTCCTGGTTCGACACTCCGGCTAAAGCATACTGTCATCAGCAGGAAGAGACCATGAAAAAATCCATATTAAGCAGCCACAAATAGTGAACAGAGGTAAACTACTGCACGATTGCGCTCGATCTCACACCGCAAAAATCGCGGTAGCAATATTGCAAAACAGTTGAAAACCCTCTACCATCTGCCATACTTGCTCCCACAAATGACAATTTTCCTAAAATATTAACAGCCTAATTGGAAAACTATCCAGATCTCAACACGGTGACGAAATTGCCTTTCATTGGCCCATGTAATCTAGACTTCATACTTCAAATTTTATGTTCAGTCGATTTTTCAATCGACCATTATTATCTAAGTTATTCTACCATTTAGAAGCAAACTTATTGTTTCGCTTTTCGTCTCGAGAAGCAACATATACAAATATATAGAAGATGAGGTATGCAAAATTCGAGCTTATTTATTAGTTATTTTTAAAGCTATATCTGAACAAAAACAGAGATTTACACATATTTTTTCTATATTATTAGTGTCATTCCTAAGGGCCACGCTTATTCAATATAATCACGATGATGATTACAGCTTCAAATCGGGATCTGTACCGATAACGAGTCGTTTTCAAAATTCCCACTTCCTAGTCCGCAAACAGCTTGTTAGTAGTAAGTGCAGTTGAAGCGATAGTGGCAAACGTGAACTCGTTAAAAATACCTAGTTGGATTAATTTTGGAGCTAATAACGGACCAATGAAACCTCAAAAGGAATTCAAAGATATAAAAGGCGTAGAAGGCTAACCATTGGAGCTTTCGAGGCGATTTAATTTGCCCGTTTATATTCAACACAGCGGCCTTTAATTCCGGTATCAAAAAACCTAGATGTATAAAAAACGGCTCTATAACTTTGACAAATTTTCGTGTCCTTTGTGGACAACCTTTCAGTTTGTCTCCTTCCCCACCTTCTTCAGACTTTTGTCTCAAGAACTGCATTAAAACTAGCAATGATCTTGGCCTTCGGGCAAAAAATACGCTCCTAATCTGGGTGGGGGCCAGTCCTGTGCGAAAACACTGCATAGTAGGTAATCCTTGATCAAATTCTGTAAACTACGCACTCGTCGCAGTTCGTTGTTTTGTTCCAGAACTGACTTTCTACGACTAAGTGCAAGGGGTTAGTGCATATTTACTACGACAAAGAATTCACCAAAGGTTGTCTAAAACTGAACTTACCCTGCCGTATATATATCATAAATGCAAGGGATGAGGACGTAACAGAAGCAAGCAATACGTTCTTGTGGGCCGTCTGTCTATGAACATCACCCTTCAACCGACCAGCTAAAGTACACGGAGTCCGATAAACTGACTTTGTTGGACAAGTTGTTGGAACCCATTGTCTAGGTTCAAAGCTGACTTTCATGTCAATTCCCAAGTGTAGCCCCTTAGTTGCTTTCAAGGTAGGCAAGGTCGTGGTTTGGGACGGTCATGGGCAGGCAGCATTCGAAACGACGATTCTTAATAACCCCTAGTTTGAGAAAGTATTATGCTCGTAGGAGACGACAGCAAGAAAATTTTTATACCTTTACTCAAGAGAAATTTTTCTTGATAAATTGATCGGATCTACCGTACGCAACTCTCTGGTAACTACGGGAATTTAGCAATGTTGAGCAAGAGTTCGAAGAAGTTTGAGATAATGAGCAATAACCGACGCAGCACGGTGCAAGAGCTTGAACTCTTAGCGGCCGCCCACAGATTTGCAACTGCAGAGAATAGCGTCATTTCAAAAATAATGTCGTTAAGAACAAAACCGCTGATAAGCTGGTCGTATTTGCGGTTAAAGTTTCGAAAAAGTAGTTGCAATGTTGGATCCTGAGGCCGATTTTTTTCTCCGTGTGATTTCTTCGCGGTTGGTGGAAAAGCGCTGCTTTTCGTACAGCACAATGCTTACGGAGCCCGTAAACATGTACGATGTCCCGCGCGCACGTTGACGGTTATGAGAATAAAACTGCAGCCAATGACAGGTCAGAAAAGCATCGGTTTTTAAGCATCAGTAATCTTGCAAATTACATGATTTTGGGCAAGCCGTTTCTGACGAAAATGTTTCATTTTATGGAGAAAGACAATGGCCTTGCCTGTAATCATTACTGCAAAGCTGTTAAAGCCGACGACAGCAATGTGGGTAATTGTTTGTTTGGCAAACAATTTGGCACTGTACTACAAATCTTAGGTTGTTTTTATTCGTATGCGTCCCTGTACAGCATTGAGCAGGAACGTGTGAAGCCAGTGTTAAATGCAGCTAGCATTTAACACTTAATTAGACTAAAAAATCGCATAAACCTGAGTGAATATAGCGAGCTCGAAAAGATAGGGGTTGGAACCAACGAATGGGGTAATTTATATCTTTTCAATGGCAGCGGGACCTTTAAACTAAGTATAAGCGCGGGGTTGACAACAGCAATGCAACTGTAGAAGTTCAATCTCATGACGTTCGTTTTTGTCAACGCGCCAGTAACGTCGCGGGACAAAGTAGTTGAAGTATTTTGACGATGTTGTAGTTTACTCGGTTGACTTCAACAGTTACATGATAGCGAAGAAAAGTTCCGGCAGCAATCGATTCCACAGGCCTGCGTTTAAAAATAAAGAATGCAACCCAGGAAATGATTACCTGGCTACAGGATCACAGCCGCTGAAATTTCTTAGATTCCAACGAAGTCCGGTAGCAGACACTTTGCCCACACCGCGTGTCAAGCGAATTAAAGAGCTTCCTAAACATTGCTTTCCTTTGCCGGTGGCTCATACGAGTTTTTGCGCGGAGCGCAAGCCCGCCCTGCGCCGTCGTCAAGGCCTTTAAGCGGTCAGCTTTTTTTCATTTTGCCTAAAACGCGAACCACGACGGGGCCTTATTACAGTATTTAATCACAAGAGCCAGTTTTATGCTACTTCCGACACATGTTGGAGATGAGGTTACAGAACTATGGCAATGCAACCTAGGTGTACGGGAGGGGGGGGGGGGAGGCAGTGCTGGCCCAGAGAGAAAGAACGCACGGCCGGGTTCGCTGTATGCGCTCCCTGTTGTTTTACTAATGCCGAAACCAGACCTTCCGAGGGCGCTTAACGGTGGTATAAACTGCTGAGATATTTCGAAATTAGTTGTTTAGGCGATACTTCGAGGTCGTTTTTGACAGTATTGCTAATGTAATTAAACGGAAAGACGAACCTTTGTCGGAAATTAACTCGTTGGGCTCTGACGTTATAGAAGCAAGGTTTCAGAATTGTGTTTTTGAAGGCAAGAGCCTGATTACCCCTGATTAACCCCAGCGGACGATACTAGATACCATAAAGCCACTAGAAGTCCATGAAATTGTACACCAATGCGGACGCTGAGTCGCATCTGACCGTGCCTCTGGCAAAGTGTGACCCTCCCTAATCGGACAAGGTTCGGAGGGCACAAAAAATGAAGCCTTCGCCGATGCGAAATAACAGCCAAAATCGGGAGAATTTCGCCATCCGAAAGACAGTACAACGTGTTAAAAAGGTCTACATTGCGGATTCGGAAGTCGTCGGTTTGGTGTGAGGACTACCAGCGGCATAACGAAGAACCAGGCCGATGTAGTATGTTCAAGGACAGCATGAGGGTATTGGTAATGGTCGAATGAGTAATGCAGGTACTTTCCGTGAGCCTAATGGCTCCACACAGCCATCGCGGCTGGCAGTTGATCGTGAACGGAGCGGATATACAGCGACGTGTTGGAAACAGACATACATAAATTGTGTATTTGAGCACTATAGACATACCATAATTCCTAGTTGAATGCGACTTAGAATTGTGTATAGGAAACTGCATGAAGCTGAATGAGGTGCGGTTCGTTACTACCAGCTTTGGTATTCTTAGCATATACATATATATTAAAGACATGTGAAGTTTCGAAATTGATGCCTAATATTCACCAACATCGTTGAGAGCACAGAAGGATTCTTGCCATGTATAATCGGGTTTAGTCACCATACCTTACAATGGATGGAAAGACGAGTTTATATCTAAGCAGGGTGAACTCTGTTGGTTAAGCATAAGAAAGTACGCTCTGCTTCCACGGTTAGCTGAAGTTTTAGTGTTAGAAACTTGTCACGATTCATACATTCGGGAAAAAACACATCACTATATCTTCCACTTGACGGGAAAATAAGGGTCAATAATTATTGGGTCATCAGGTTGACTAAGCTTGTGCAGCTCACGTTCTAGAAAACCCGCCACTGTCCGCGAACGACATGATCAAGGGGACATGGCATATTTTTCAACCTATATTATTATAAGAAGCTAGGTTGCTACATTCGTTGGATAAGAAGGAAGTATACGTTGCTACACGAATTATGAACCGGAAGCCGTTCTGCAATTCATTACACATTGATTTGAACATCTGTTAGATTTTTATAGTTCCTGTTGTAGAACGTTTTTCTTAATATTTTTTCAGGATCATTGTCAGATGGAACACACAATGTAAAAACTCTAGCCCTTCAAATCGCCCCCTACCCCAAAAGCTCCGCTATTGATGATGAAACGCTCCCCAGCGAGGGCAACGTCTTCAAAGTCCACACGCGCACCCTTGACAAGGACTTCGAGCCAGTCGATGACAACTCTTGTAAGGCAAACATGTTTCAAACATCCATTTACTCGAATTTAGTTCAAATAGTTGTAGTTCAAGTTGAGTTCAAATAGCTCGCATGCGCTGTTGTATAGATCAAATTCATTCTTAATGCTATAACAAATACTAGTAGTGTTTCGGAGATCAGGATTTATCGGTAAGTGTCGTTGCAGACGACTCGCCACTAGTCCGAAGCGAAGCGCATTTTCGCCCAGTTTTATATCGGTGCAACTATTATTATTACTACGGTTAAGGGACATACGATTATTTTCGGGATTGTCACTTTGCTAACTTTTGTATTTGAATTTTAGCCATTCTGTTCAACATGGAAACAGCCCGTGTAGCCATGTACACGACGATCAGTCTTTTGTCGTTGTGTGCCACGATTGCGGTGTGTTATCTGGGAGCCGGTCGGAGAGGTGGAAGCGGCACCCGACAAGTTCATATACCAAGGGACCCCACACCAATGCAGTTCACTACATCGTCACTATGAGCCATCACATGCACAACTAACCCAAATTTTTGTATCTGAAGTCGCTACAGATAAGCTATATCGAGCAGAAGGACAGGCGCAATAGTGGGCGCCCCCCTGACTTCACTTGTGTGAGTGCTGTTTAAATCAGGTTAGCCGATTGGCAAGAAAGAGCAAAGTCTATAATCTCTGAGAGTTGTTGTATACTCCTTGTAAACTTATATGACCGCTACTAAAGTATATTTGTAGTGGTTTAGATTAAGGTATATTACATTGCAGTTAAACGAACTAAGCGCTGCTTAAGGGCTCTGCTAATAGAAACCGAGAAACCACTGGTGGTCAACCCAATAACAACCGGTAACCCTTAGCTCTTGATGCGTTTGTTTCTGGGCGCTCTGTACCGGCTGGTGCGCTTGAAATTTATCCGTTTGATATTAAAATTATAGTGGTTTTAGGTAGGTCGACGCCGTTCCCAATAACCTGTAAAAAAAAGAAAGCTGACACAGAGGCTGGGAACCGGCTCCGTCCAGAGCGTTAAATGAAAGTCACCATTGTATAGCTAAGGTGTTGTACATGGTATTACTTTAAATATAATTAAGAAAACAAGATACTTATGTGGAAGGTACTAGTGCACAGCGTCATTACATTCGGTTATGGTTTGAAACGAGATTGGCAGGAAACGGTTTATTTTGACAATTTATATACTTTTTCTTCGAAGTTTGAACATTAATTAACACACAAATGTGAAAATGTCATTCAACATGACGATATGAGTGTCTGTAGATTTTTAAATCTTAACAGGCGTCACATAATAGAATGTGATGCAGGACCTCGTATACATAATGCGTACACGCATAACCGAAAAAACAGGTGAACCACAATGTAAAAAACATATATGAACAGCAAGGAAATATAAGATCACAGTAATAAATACACCTCGATAACGAAAACAATGGTACATAACAGATGTAAATAGTTCGAGAATAATATTAATGGTGATGATGGACGGCGATAACGTGAATATGACTCTGATGATGAAAATATATGATAATGACAATAAAGTTACGTTTTACTCTTTGCTTAAATTTGATATCTCTTATTTTTCGCACACTTAACTTAATAATAGAATGCTCAGGGACAACTGTATGCAGAAATGGTAGACCTCTACAGTGAGTAAATAGTTAAAACGGCGTCCTATTCAAAACACTCAACATCTATGAACGTCAGCTGACGGCGTGTACGAGCTTTGTCATGTACATTTCGTCATGCCATCACATCGATCTGCCCTATTATTTTTAATGAACTTTGATTAGCTAAAAACATTTGATATGACAATTATAGTCGGTAATTTATTCGTTTAGATTTGTAAAGAGGAGAATGCAGTTAATTTATGGGCTAATGGAATCGGCTCAGACTTAACGAATGCGTACTTTTGTTTTGTTGACAAATGTTTACCGGCATTGCCTTAAATGATTCAAAATTATGCTGTACCTAGGATCGATTATTAACTAGAACTTGGAGAAAGATTTTGAATCATACTTTAAACCCGTCAGTATTTTCGATCGACAATCGATTTTATATAGCCAATAAAATGTACTATACTACTAATGACAGTGTAACAGTTAGTCAAGAACGTATTATACGCAGTCTAGTTTGATAATAATTTTTTAGAATTTATTATTAGCCCTAACTGTTTCAGGCATTGGCATGTATAACATGATTCACGCTGCACAGTTCTAATGTATTTGGCTGCTAGTAGCAGATAAAAGGTTACATTGAACAAGTAAGATTTCGAGATCGTTTATGGCTTCGATGGGCATTATCTTGTTTTTGAATGGTCTTTCCTCGGCCGTCTAAAAGTTTTAACCAAGCATCTGTCGTATGTTGCACTATTAGGTCATCTAGTATTGCACCTTGTAATAACTATAAAAATATAGGGTTTTCTATCCTGGACAAATTGTTATCTACTCTAAAAATCAAAAGAAAATCTTCCATATAATCTCAATGTACATAATATTCAGTCATAAATGAGCTTATGAATGACAAACAGTGTTCGAACGCACTTTAATCGCGAGATCTCTACATTCATAAATAAATAAATAATAAAATAAAATAAATAGTTGCTACTTTCTTTTTTAATTATTCATTATATTATCTGGTCCCGATATATAAACCTATAAAAATAACGCGGTGATTCTGTACGCGGAAATGAATCTGTCCTGTCAAAAGGTAGTGCATCTAGGCTGAAGAGGTTGCTTCGGAGTTAGTATATTGGCGTTTATTTTTATTGGTATAATATATTTCTGCTCACAGTACAACTTGTAGCATTGTTCTATGACAATAATTGTATAACTGCGTGTTGACATTAAGATATCGTCATATTACCAAATGATTAAACATCCTCCCGCTGTATCGTTATATCCTTTTCAGGATTCTTTCCACAGGCAGCAGGTTACATTACTGTGAACCTACCTGCGTATCTTCGCTCAGACTGACAGACGTTACAGGAATGGGCAGTGTAACAACGAAGTTACTGCAGCGACGTTATAGTGCGTCGTGCTACGTATAGTTAGTGTATTAGCTGAGCCTAAGTTGTCCTGAGTTTCACGACGAGGCTCCGCTGAGTTTGGCGGTGACTTCCACGAGAGCCGGAATACGTCAGGTGACACATTGTGGATGTAGGAGGGACGTGTCTCGACTACATCGCGGCGTCCTACTGATACACGCTCGGTTGCGATCTGGTCCTACTTAATTATACGATCTTGCCGCAGTGACGATACAGGACGGCGATAGACACACTCGCATACAGGCCACACAGGCTTAGCCACAATGAATGCTATCACACAAGCCTTCATAGCTCATGCAGGCAAACATTCGCCAGTCGATAATACAATGTCTATCTAACGCTTAGTGCCAATTCTACTTACTACAGCAGTTGTGACCCCACTATAACTCTAGCCCCGGCCGACTAGGACCCGTTTCTACAGACATCCACTTCTTCCTACGTTATTTCATTATCTTGGCCTTAATACCGATTTGCAACGCTAGCATCCACACGTGAGGAGTTGGGCCTAATAAGGGACAAAGGGAGGGACAGGGACAAGTAAGCAGTCAGGCAGGATGTTGCAAGCACCTGCAGGTAATGACCTTATGCCAACGGTATCGTCTACATAATGAATCCGCTCGCCTTCTTTATACCGAACTGCTTCATTAATACAAGAGCTGTAAATCAGGTAATAAATTTTAATCGTTATATGAATTGTCGCTATTGAAGTATATGCCAACGAAAAGCTGAGTCTAATATAAACTGTATAAATATTGATGATAATGGTCTTATGTATGTTAACACAGGAGTTGCTCAGTAACATCTAGTCAGAGATAACTATTCAACAATCTATGCAAATAATAGTGAAATCAAGATTAAAGGTGTGTCCCAGCACATTGACAAAAACACTGTGCAAACACCTGACGAAACAGGACAATGCGCACCCTATAACATGGAAGTTTGCTGAAGTGATAGCGCATTGTATGTTGAGGCAATTGACTTCAATTATGATAACGTCATTAACAATGATCTATGAAAGAACGGTAGAGAATTTCGTACTATTGTAGAATTCGATGCAAAACTTCGGTCTTGAAATATTTCATCGCAGCGTGACATGGACATAGTTGATGAGGGACCTGGCTTAATTGTGGACTATACATATTAATTTATATTGCATTTGCTTAAATACGCGCTTACTCTGTAAGAACGAACCTATAGATACTTTCCATCAACGCCCAGAAACATAATAACAAACAAAATAAAGCACACATCGCTCTAACAACAGAAGCGCTCTCAAACAGACCACCTAACCTTGTTAAAACTGCAATGATTTATTTAAAGTACTCCGAAAAGGCAAAATATCGCAAGTCGAAAAAGCTTCTATACTTTTAAAAAGTGGTATGATGTGTTCTGAAATCGATTTAAAAACAATTTTGATCCTAAGTCGTGGATTGTAGCATGGCGCTTTCCGACAGTGATACAGGTTGCGGTATCGTCTACCTACAAAAGGAGGTTAATAAAGCAACCTGAGAAAACAAACAACTAGAGAACACAGCGTCCTGTGAAGCAATAATTCGAAAGCGATTCACAATTTGATTTGTAAAAGCATAAAACTGAGCTATTATGACCGATAATCTTTCAGCGCATTTTTCGAATTTACATACTCGTCGAATGCTGCGGCGTATCCAACTCAGTCCTCCAATGCTTCCTAAAAGATTGCTGCAATTTAGTATTCATAATGTGAGTGCTAGCTCAATAATGGTACCTGTACATGAAAGAACTGTAGTCTTAAATTGGAGAGACCCTGGGTAGATTTCTGTCGTGCCTGTTCAAAGGGTCTGGCATCTCAAGTTGTATCTTTCCCGTATGAATGTTCAGGCGATCGATTGAAAATGCTCAAGTGTCAGATATTTTCCAAATGTATGGCCGATGCACGAGAAGCGATGGCGAGGTAAGACCTGCGAACGAAAGTATCATAGAGCGGCATGCAACCTCTTAGAAAGCAACACTTGTCCGGCCATATAGAAGAACTGCTAACGAACACGACTAACATTTAGTGTTCATCCTGCTCACAAATCCGTTCTGTAACTATTGGAAACACAATCAATATGGGTAAAGTTCATCACCCTAGTGCCCCGCCGTGGCATACTTTCATACGCCTCAAATCAGCGTTCGGACGAATCACTTAGCTTATCGAAATGCTGCTCCTTTTTGGCTTCGACGACCGACTGGTGACGTGAATTCAAAGTTCTTCCAGCGACTGCATTTCCCGTGTTAGAATCAATGGGATATAGTCTGGTACTGCCAGAGCCGTCTCAAGCTCTTTTCCATGTACAACCTCTGATGTGTGTTTTGTATATAAACGAAATTATGTATATATTGTCTTCATCGATATTTCTAAACATTTACACAAGTAAAAATACGTACACGGGTCAGTAAAAAAGGCAGCAGCTTGCAGTTGCAAAATGCCCTCAACAACTTTTTGGATCAGACCAACAGGTTGAACTTTGAAAAATATACCATTTTACACATTAGACAGGAAAATTCCAATCGTGTGTATTCCATAGGGGAACTCAACCTAAAAAGAGAAAGAACTATCCACGATTCACGGGTAGCCACAAGAGTTACCTCAAAATCCACAGAATATGTGACAGGTTTAGCCTCTCGCGCAACATGCCGCTTTAACTGGACCCTACGCCTGTTTGTTTTAAAACCGCCAACTTTTTATGTCAAGCTATTCAGAATGTACGTTGAGCCACCTATGAAATACGCGGCACTCACGCGATATCGAAGTCTGAAAAAAAAACAACCTTGAAAGTAAGAAACGCAACCGTCAGATGTCAGGTGCGTGAGGAAAAAAGCTAAAACCCCATTTATCCTCGATAGATTTAACCTCAGCGATAAACAGACGTATCGATAAACATCTCTGAGAAGTTGTGGCTAAAAACCTATGCGGTGACCTACCTATTCCCATGTAGAATCTTCGTAAACTGCGCAGGCACTCATAGGAAGAAGCAGTATGCTTATTCTATGCATACGTGCATTATTGTAATAAAACATTTAAACAAAGTGTGTACGATCTGTACAAAATGTTACGTCAGCTGTAGTTGACAATCGGATAAAAGAAATTTGGTGTTTGAGCATACCGATAAGGCGCTACATATTGTTATATACAGTGTCACATATTCTAGTGACATTACCTATCCCGTAAAGAAAAAGGCCACAAATGATCGTGCTTCATCACGATCGGAAATTCGCTGTCAAGAGTTGCGACCATATAGAAAAGATGCTGAGATGCTGATACCGATCTCTGGCTAAGTACAACTCATTCTATGGGATTTCTTGGATGAAAATATTAGATCAGAGTCAAAACCAAGGCTATCATAACTGCAAAACCCCCCAATGACTATCATGATACTGATTGTCGTATAATATCGTGAAAATCGTGACACTAGGGGCTAGAAGGTTCATTGTTGTTACTGATTAAAGGCCATACATATATG